TTAGTTTAGGATGTCCATCTTTTTGCAAAGATGAAATGCCGTGTAAATAAATACACAGCGCACAAACACTCAATAACATCTAATCTCAGAATGCCTGTTCTGTCAGTTTCAACAACACTCAGCGTGGAAACAAAAATCAAAAGCCTTCATTTCGTCTTGTATTATTTACATCATAGGCAAAAAATACCTTTCTGTTACAAAATTATCGATGTTCTCCTGTTTAGTGACTGGATTGAAATAGCCTAAAGATCAGGTCTTGACTGAAATAAAATCTCTTTCAGGTACGATTATTCGAATGGACGTCGGACAAGGAGTTGCGGTTAGAATGCAGCCACTTCAACAACATCGTAGCTCTATATCTGAAGGTCAAGGGAGACTTCATATTAGTTGGTGATATCATGCGATCCATGTCATTATTACAGTATAAACAGGTTAGTAAAGTTTCTTTAGTTTTACACAATATTCTTGAAGTACTGTGATGGTAACTTTTATTTGCAGAAAACTGCACTTGCTGAAAAGCTGTTTCAATTTTGTGTTTTTGCACCCCATTACGTTTTTGCAGCAGATAGAATTTCATCCAATGACCCCACCCCAAGCTAACCATCCTTATCGCACAAAACTTATCGCATAAAACACAGGCAAACATTTTTGCTTAGTTTAGGTATACTACCTTAATTAAAATATTGTTACTAACCAAATAATTTCATAGCCCCATTTAAGTTTCTTGTATTTAGGCTAAGTCTTTATTCAATAAATTTATCTTATCTATCTATCTATCTATCGCTCGCGTGTAATTATATTGTTGTCGCGCTTGCACACTCACTGCGACCGCCCGTCGCACAAGTCGCGACAGCAATATAATTACGCGCGAGTGATAAGGATGGGTAGCTTGGGTTCATTGGACAAAATTCTATCTGCTCGGCGACCGAACTTTACATCGTAACGCGTAATTATCTGACGATGGTGTACAATACAATATGGTTTCCGCAGATGGAGGGCAGTTTCGAAGAGATAGCGCGCGACCACAGCCCCAACTGGATGACGGCCGTGGAGATCCTCGACGACGACACCTTCCTCGGCGCCGAGAATAACTTCAACATGTTCATTTGCCAGAAAGATGGGTGAGTGTGTGTGCCGTTTAAAATACGATTAATTAATTTTCAAATGTGTTTGATTTACAAAGGCTTGTGAATTCGTTGTAAATCGCTTTATTGCAACTGCATTTGACTGTAGGTTCACTTGTATGGCGAGGAGTATGAATGAGGGCTATCGTTTTAGCGCTCACCAGTTAGCGCCACTGTAGAGTAAGGTCCTGTCACTTGCTAGTAGCGAAGACAGTGGCACCAACTGGTGAGCGCTAAAGTGGTAGGAGGACCTATCGCATTTGCACTCATCAAGATGGCGCCACTGTAGAGTAAGGTCCTGTCAATCGCCAGGGGTGCCAACTGTTAAGTATAAAAACGATAGCCTTCATTGCCACTTGACTGTATCTGTCGTAATCGGCCATTGTCTTTGACGGCCGGCATCGCATTAGCCGACTGTCGCCTATCACGGTTGTCTTTTACTACGGTCAGTGTGTCTTAGCCGATCACTGTCGCAAACAGTCGCTCGTCTGACAATGAGGGCTATCGTTTTTATACTTAACAGTTGGCACCCCTGGCGATTGACAGGACCTTACTCTACAGTGGCGCCATCTTGATGAGTGCAAATGCGATAGTCCTCCTACCACTTTCGCGCTCACCAGTTGGCGCCACTGTCTTCGCTACTAGCAAGTGACAGGACCTTACTCTACAGTGGCGCTAACTGGTGAGCGCTAAAACGATAGCCCTCATTCCCTAACGCCTCGCATTACAACGCGCTAAAGTTCAAACTTATTTTTGTCCATTCCAGTGCCGCGACGACAGATGAAGACCGGCAGCAGTTAGAAAACATGGGCCGCTTCCATATTGGAGACATGGTCAATGTAATGCAGCACGGCTCGCTCGTGGCGCAGCACGCAGACACCGCCGCGCCCGTTGCCAACCCTGTGCTTCTGGCTACCGTCACCGGCGCCATCTGTGAGTACACGTGACGTCACGCAGCACGGCTCGCACGCCGTGACGTCATATCATCTTCTCAGTCGGTACACTCTTGTCAGAGTGGTCGTGGTCATCATTTTGAATCACGATTCAGAGTGATGTTCCTCGTAATACGGCGCCATTCCTCGCGGACTGCAGCTTTCCGGGTACTTTCGCTAACCGAGCACTTAGTTGGAGTGTTGCCAACTTAGCTACTTTATAGCTAGATTTAGCAACTTTTTGATGTCAGGCAGCTACAATTTTTTTTTACTTGTAGCTAAATTTTTTAGCTACTTTTTCTAGCAACTATTGATTATGATAAATTTTTACAAAGTATTTGTAACTCGCTATAGCATGTCTTTCACTTCCGCATTCAAATGCTGAGGTAGAAAGATTGTTCTTCCAAATGAATTAATAAAAAATAAACAGAGGAATAGAATGAGTTTAATAACTCTGAATTCTATTTTATGCATAAAAGATTCGCTCAGGAAAAGCGGCCAGTGCTGTCACAATTACGTTTTTCCTAAAGCCGTACCTAGTTGACAAAATGGGATATTAGATAATTATAATATTCGGTAGATAATCAAAATATTGTCTTCTTTTATTTGTTAATTAAGTAGTCACAGTATTAAAGTTAAGTTGATTAAAGTTTATAGCTGATTTATTAACTGCAGTGTTTATTTCTTTAGTATTTTATTTACTTCTGAATTCAGCTACTTCTAGCTACTTTTTAGGGAGAAAAAAATACTCAATCTAGCTACTTTCTGTTAAATTCCTAGCTACGAGCCTTTGGTAGCTGTTGGCAACACTGCTTAGTTGCGGCCCTAATCTGGTTCGTCCATCTCATTGGTCGGCCGTTTGGTGTAGTGGTTCAGAACGGACTACTATGCCAAGAGGTCCCGGGTTCGATTCCCGGCCGGGCAGAAATTGAAATGATGAATTTTAATTTCTGTGACGGGTCTGGGTGTGACTATGTATAATATTTATGTATTTAAAAAAAAGTATATAAGTAGTATATCCGTCAAGCTAGCACCCATAACACAAGCATTAAGTTGCTTACTTTGGGGCTAGCTGGCGCTGTGTGAAATTGTCCAAAGATTTATTTATTTATTGGTGATCTACCACGTGGTCCTTTATGCCCAACCCGTTTGGCCAGGGTGTAGGCAAATCATTTGTCTTTGGTAAATTGGAGAGCTTAGGGCATGCTCCTGCAGTTGAGAGACTAACGCCCGTTTTCACCATCAATCCCTAACTTTTAAATGACCCCTATGGTAACACATAACAGGAATTATCATAGGGGTCACTAAAAATTATAGGGATTGATGGTGAAAACGGGCATTAGTCTCTCAACTGCAGGAGCATGCCCTAAGCTCTCCAATTTACCAAAGACAAATGATTTGCCTACACCCTGGCCAAACGGGTTGGACGTCATCATTGGCTAATTGTCATTGGCCTGCATATAAGGTCACCTTATGAGCAGAGTGGTGAGGCAATATTTTTTTTTTTATGCATAAGGTAATCTGCTTTAATGCAGGTATTTGACCACAATCGCACCTGATGTTAAGTGGGCTGCAGTCTAGTCTAGTCTAGTCTAATTCGATATTTTCTTTTCCACAGGCCTAGTAGTCCAATTGCCACAAGAACTGTACGAGTTCCTCCACCAGCTAGAAGAGCGATTGACGCACACGATTAAGTCGGTCGGCAAGATCCCGCATTCTTTCTGGAGGTCGTTGAACTCGGACATCACCACCGAGGCGGCCGAAGGCTTCATAGACGGAGACCTCATCGAAAGCTTCCTGGACCTCTCCCGGGATATACAGAAGGAGACCATACAAGGGATGCAGGTGGGTCCCACTGGGTTGCTACAGTCGTAGTGCTAATTTAGAATAATTTTACAGTGTTTACCAAATTGACTCTGACATAGCTATCATCATCAGACATCTCCCCTTACCAATGAGGGCTATCGTTTTTATACTTAACAGTTGGCACCCCTGGCGATTGACAGGACCTTACTCTACAGTGGCGCCATCTTGATGAGCGCAAATGCGATAGTCCTCCTACCACTTTCGCGCTCACCAGCCGGCGCCACTGTCTTCGCTACTAGCAAGTGACAGGACCTTACTCTACAGTGGCGCCAACTGGTGAGCGCTAAAACGATAGCCCTCATTACCATACGCGGAATGTTTAATGGGTTTATTCGTGCAAACAACTAATCATTCGATCTGTATGCCATGAAATCTGTAGATCCCATTGCAGTCGTTTGCAATATGAAGAAAACCTTTTAGTACTATCTCATTTTCTTTCAACAAAAGGTCAGTTGATTTGACTTTTCTACTATACTGAGCCTTGACTTTGTCTCTACAAAACCAGAGTTGGGCAATCCTAGACATGCATGTTTACATATTACTTTCGTGCATACCCTGTGATACTAATATAGGACCTTTTGTTCCAGATCGACGATGGAGACGGAATGAAAAGGGATGCAACTGTAGATGACTTAATAAAAATCGTGGAAGATCTCACGCGGATACATTAATGTTTACAGTGATATAAAGAGATAAAATAGTTCACGAAGGTGACTTGCGGTGGTGTTCGGTTCTGTTTGCAATAGTTGATGCTTTGATTGCAATATGAAGAGTATGTATTGAAGGATTAAATCCTATATCAATCCATAAGCGTAGATAGAGCCTTGCTAATCTCTTTCCAATTTTGTTTAGAATATATCTTGTTTGAGAAATCTGATTTATATGTAAAATGTTAAGATCAAGCTATTTTCGTGGACTATTTTATTTACTATTTAGTCGAGAAAATGTATTAAATACTATTATGTACTTCAGATGTACTTGTTTCATTGATCACTAACCATCAGAGGCATTAAAGGATTAAAAAAAACTTCAACTCATATTTAATTACCTATATTTATTTAATTCATTCATTTCTATGATTACATCACAGAAAGTCATAATAATCACAGTTTCATAGTATTGTTAAAAATACTGAATGCATTTATTGCGAGCAAAGCATAATCTAGCAAAAAGTTGCACACAAACCAGCACTGGAATATAGAAAATAGTAAATTAAATAACCCTAATAAATAAAAAATATAACATTGTGTAAAATGTCTAATCTATTAGCCATTGTGAGGAATAAACTATTTGATACATACAATAAAATTATTATTAATAACAACACAAATTATCAAATGTAACTAGAATTATAATTTGTACAATCTATGTTGGAATTTTTGCATACAAATGTTAGTCAAGATTATTATGTAATGATAATTAAGTCATACCACAGGTCATATCATACTGTTGCAAATTATCTATCATAAATGGAAGTCAGTGGGTGACCTTGCAATTAACTCTAAAATAAATACGTTAAACTTTTACCGAGTTTGTACTTGTAGTATGTTTTCGTTAATATTCTTTACATTCTCCACAAGTCCTCTCAAAGGTCCTGAAGGAAAGTCGATGGTTAATTATTCCAAATGTATTTAGATTTTCTAGATACAGATATGAGACGTTATTGAAATTTACATAATTTCCTGGTAAATTATACATTTATTCCAATACATACATATTATGTATGTCTGAGCTTAACTATGAATGTGTGAAACTATACAATTTGTTTATTTATTTGGGAAAGTAAAAGTAATGAGTGACAAAAAAAACTCATGAACAAAATGGGTAAAAAAATATTATAAACCAGTAAACCTAGCATTTACAAAGAATATTATGCATTAATTGTACAGCCTGTATTTTGAGACCCTCAAAAGGAACAAATTGTGATTTATTTATGACGAAAACGGGCATTCTTACTTTCTGTACTTCTCTGCCTTATGGTGCAGAAACCACATGAGTGCAAACAGACAGCTGGGTGGACTGGCAAGAGGTCCTGGGGAGCTGAGCATCTCCTCAATCTCGGGAATTGTCTTCTCAACTACTTCTATGATTTCATCATCCACTCCTCCACCTGAAACATCAAATTTTAGGGTTTATAAGTTCTTGCAATGAGTTTTTATGTGTTCAACTTGTTTGGTTGATTGATAATAATTATACTAGGTATATCACAACACTGCAGACTGTTGAAATGGCTGGATCAAGTTGTAAACAAACCAACCTTGTTCAGTTTTCATTTCGTCTGTCACTTCACAGTAGTATAATGTTTGTAGTGCTCCTTGAACTCCCACTCCAGCCCTGTAAAAAGATAACATTTTATTGATAACAGACAATACAAAAAATTAATAAGTTATTAGGTTGACATTTAAATTCTAGAATATTATTATGAAGCCTATTCTGTTCTGTAGACTTCAAAGGGAAGTGAATATTGTACTGAGCCCCACTGATGTGACAATTTTCTTTAGATACCTGTATGATATGATCCTATGCAGATCCTTGAGTTCAACATTATAGCCACACTCCTCGAGCACTTCCTCTCTAGCTATTTCATTAATTGGCTTCTCCTTATCAATAATACCGGCGCACATTTCAAGGGCAATGCCTAGAGAGGCCGGGTACTTCTTTGTGTCTATGAAATCTTCGTCACGGTCATCAGGATGGACACAGTTGTAATAAATTGCTAAAACAAATAATATAGTGAGGTAATTTTGGCTAGTAAAGTAAGCATTAAGTAAATAGTTTAGTATCTATGTCAATACAATACAAAATAATCTTACCAGGACGGAATTGCTTTACAAAAACCATAACTTTACGAGTAACGTTGAAGACTATAATGGCGACGCTGTCGTGGACTTCTAGCAGGTCCCAGGTCTTCTTCTTGCCATTCTGCGTGTAGTTGAGCCTGAAAGGCTTCACGTACGGAGAGTCGGGAAGCGGGCTGAGATACACTTGCTTCAAATCTTCCATTGCAAATTAATAACCTCACCTGTGAAGAGAATATTTATTTAATTATGGACTGCAGGACTGGATTGAATATTTTGACCAATTTTATAATTGACTACCTAGAGTTTCAAAGTAATTAATCAACTGAACCTGCCTGAAGCCTCGCCTGAAGAAAGCTGAAGAAATGAAATTCTGAAAAATCGAATTGAAGGAAGTAAAGTGACCAAAAACATCTGTTTATTTGACAGTCAGTGTCAGTACTGTCAGACAGACACAGATATGGATTATATCTGTGGATTATATCGATGGGTGCCTGGAACAAAGCCGCAATAGCCATAGCAGCAGTTTTCCGATTAAGTGATTTTAGTAAACTGCGGGTCCCTATCACCCTATACACCTTTTGAATTTTTTTCAGAATTTTATCTTTGAAACTGCCTGATTTACCAAAAGCACTATGGATATTGAATCGTTATTCCCATTCACCATTTAAAATTTGTTGACCGGAATAATCGTGCCTTAGACAATGTTAAAACTTTTATTTAAATCTTCTACAAGCAAACGGCTATTACTGTATCCTTCAGATCAGCGCCCGAGGCTGCAATACACTATTGCTGTTTGATTAATTGCACACTTTTTACGGGAATAAAACCACAATGGACTCTTACGGAACCGACTTTCAATGTATGAAGCGGCAATATGTATTTCTACCTTTTTTAAAGTATATTCTAAGCACTATAACCTTATGCACATTCAATGTTACTCCAGAAAAAATAACGCATCGTTTGATATACAAACCGTTTTGATACGCCTCGTAGTTTAGAATTATTCAAAATTGACACTAAATCTCTTCTCCTGTAAAATTGTGTTTTGTCGATTGCGGCTTTGTTCCAGGCACCCATCGATATCATTAGAGCAGACAGACGTCAGTCAAAAAAAGGGAAGGGAGGTGCAAGCAAGCAGCAAATATCGATTGTAATCGATGTTCAAAGGTTTCATAATCATGCATGAACCATTACCATAGACAGCTTGAAGCAGCTAGTATCGACAGCTTCAAGCTGTGACTGCGTGTGACTTCATAGCAAAGTACAGTAATCTACGGACACGACAAATACACGGAACCGGAATCGTTTGAGCAGTTGTGTTTTGACTGCTTCGGGGCGGTTTGCTTGTGGCACTGCCAACAACACAGTGAAATTTAAAAAAAATTGAATAGTAGGACTGCAAGAGCGGTCTCTGATATTTTTCAAATCAATTATCACTGGCTAACTGCTCCGTCCTAACTGTCCGTGTCTTAAAATTTAAATTTTAAACCTTGAGTGATAATCTATTCATGTCTGCTGTTGCATGGAACATAAATGGCTTATCCCCGAATAAGCAAGAAGTAGAGCTATTCATAAACTACAACAAAGTAGATATACTATTGGTTTCTGAAACACATATGACTGACCAGAAAGTGATTAAAATTAAAGGATACAATGTATACTATGCTAACCATCCAGATGGCACATCACATGCTGGGGCCGCTGTAATAATTAAGGAACACATAAGACACCACGTAATACCGAATTTTACTTTCGCACACTTACAGGCCGCAATGATATCTGTAGATGACTGGCAGGGATCGCTGAATGTGGCTGCTGTGTACTGTCCCCCACGACATCGCATAGATGAACAAATGTTTAGCGATTTCTTCCACACGATTGGTGACAGATTCATTGTGGGAGGAGACTGGAATTCAAAACACACGTTCTGGGGCTCCCGATTGACGACGACAAAGGGCCGAGAGCTAAAAAAGGCAATTGATAGCAGTAACCTCAATGTACTATCTACAGGAGAACCAACTTACTGGCCATCAGACCCTAACAAAACTCCAGATCTCATCGATTTCTTCATCACTAAAAAGATGTCGGGATTATACACAAAAGTGGAAGCATGCCTAGATGGATCCTCAGACCATACACCTGTGATATGCACAAAAAAAAAAAAAAAAAAAAAAAAATGTCTGCTGTTATAGTTCCAAAATACTGAACTGTCCTATCGATGACATTGACAGCGGGGCGCCACCGTCAATACCGAATCGCTGGTTCCGATTTTTGCCATGTTGGAAACCATAAAGTTGAACGATGGTAGCGCCCCCCTGTCATTGAGTTTGGCGGGACAGTTCAGCGTGGGTCATCTATAATCGATCAATTGAAATGTTATTCGTACGTTAAAATAGAATAGCCACCGACCACATGACAAGCGATCGGATAAATAGTGCCTCAATAAAAAAAAAACATTTTGTTAGCAAAAGCGAGATAGAATTTGTAAATAATTTTAATAAATCCGCAAAGCTAGTGAATTATTGTAAAATATATCATGTAGTCAATTTATTGCACGTGGAAATTCAATTAGTAAAATGGCTAAACAAGATAAAACCCCTCGTTCTGGGTTTGTCATAAAGTTGTCCTCCGAGACTGCACAAAAACTAGCCGATGAAGACGAGCAACATGCTAAAGAGAGAGCCAGTGCTGAAAACATTTCCAGTAATGTAGCAACGAGCGAAGAAAACTCCGACAAAAATACTAGTGAGTCAGCAGAAGGTAATAAACAAGACACCCAGCAGGTTGCACCAGATGTCGATAAAAAACCTGATAGCGAGACAAAAGAGACTGAGGTGACTTCAAGTAATGCAGCTGAAAATAAAAAAAGTGATCCGGCCGAAGCTAACGCATCTTGGGGCGACTATGCTCCATACATTACCTATGAAGGAGAGGAGGCAATATACACAGATCCTTCCACACAACAGAAATACACATGGAGCCAAGCCACTAACACTTGGGCTCCCAAAAGTGCTGAATCTGATGTACCTGGTAGAGAGTATAGCTATGAAAATGACACCCATGTTTACACTGAAGCAGATGGATCAAAGTGTTTTTGGGATGCAGATAAAAAGGCATGGATTCCTAAAGTGGATGATGACTTCTTAGCTCTCTACCAAATGTCATATGGATTTGTTGATAACACTGACAAGAAAAAAGATAAAGTGGAACCTGAGAAGACAGAAACACAGAAAAAAGCTGATCCAACAGCTGTTAAAAGGAAAAATGAACCTCAGTGGTTTGAGCCCTCGGAAGATAAGAATACCAAGGTGTATGTATCCAATCTTCCATTAGATTTGACAGAAGAGGAGTTTGTAGATTTTATGCAGAAATGTGGTCTTGTAGAACGAGACCCAAGCTCACAAAAGATGAAGGTCAAACTTTATACAGATAAAGAACACAATTGTTTCAAAGGAGATGCCTTATGTACTTACATTAAGATTGAATCAGTAGACCTAGCTCTGAAGCTGCTGGATGGAAGCGATTTTAAGGGAAATAAAATCAAAGTAGAAAAAGCACACTTCCAACTCAAAGGTGAATACAATCCTGCACTGAAACCTAAAAAGAAGAAAAAGAAAGAGTTGGAAAAAATTAAGAAGATGCAGCAAAAGCTCTTCGATTGGAGACCTGAGAAGTTTATAGGGGAGCGCTCAAAACATGAGAGAGTGGTTATTGTAAAGAACTTATTCCATCCAACAGATTTTGATAAAGAAGTTCAGCTGATACTTGATTACCAGCAGGATTTGAGAGAAGAAGCAACGAAATGTGGGGAAGTGAGGAAAGTTGTCATTTATGACCGTCATCCTGAGGGAGTGGCTCAAGTAACTATGAAGGAGCCGGAACAAGCAGATGCTGTGGTCCAGCTCATGAATGGGAGATGGTTTGGGAAGAGGCAAATCACTGCAGAGATTTGGGATGGCCGAACAAAATACAGGATTGCAGAAACAGATGCAGACATCAATCAACGGATTGAAAAGTGGGACAAGTTCCTAGAACAAAAGGATGATGGAAAACCAGAAAGCAAAGAAGGGGAAAAGGAAATGAAATCAGAATCAAAATCAGAGGAATTGAAAGAAAAATCTAATGAACCAATGGATACACAAAATCTGGCAAAAGAAGAAGTATAATGGAAGCCTTTATTTTTAAGCCTTAAATGCATTTTATGTAAAGTACATAAGTAACTTATAACAAAAGAATGTATTAAGAGTATGTTTTAATTAAAAAGTAAGTTGATTCTTCAAATAAAATAAAAATTTATTTTAATTTGTTTATTTCTTCTCTAAACTTCTCTTTTCTAATAAAAATTAAGGGGGTTCTAACTTGTAAGAACGAGAAGATAATATTGTAATAATTTATTAGCAGACATTATTGTACCTAGTTATAGAAAATGATAAATTCATCTGATGATAATCGGTCGAAATGAAGGTATTTTTCACAGATTTATTTTTTATTGGAGAAGAATCAAAAGATGTTGTCTATGAAATTATCTACAAAAATTCTTCTTCTTCTTCTTCTTCTTTTAATGGCGATGAACTTGTGTATTTTCGCCACAAGGCACACTGTTCCGCCAATATCACGTGCGCAGCTTTTACACAATGTAGGTATTTGAGAAATTTAAATTCAAAGGTATGCTAAGCAAAATACCTAAAACAAAGAGACATCACAAATAAGACAACACAATACATAAAAATAATACATACGAGTGAACACAAATGGGGAGGTTTAGTTTGGAAAAAGTTTACTGCCAACTCTTGCTTGTTACAAAAGGTTACAAATTAATTTTATTGATGTTAATGAATTTAACTAGAGATTTCAAAGTATGGGGATTAGTAAAGTTAAGGACACATTTAAGGTTAGTTGGAAAAGGGAATTTTTTGGGAAGGAAGTCATACAACGAATGGTCAATTTTGGGGCAGTTGAAAAAGATGTGATTAGCTGTTCCTTCATCCAAGCCGCATTCGCATATGGAGCTATCCTTGATCCGCATTTTTGCGAGGTGTACAGGGGTGCACGCGTGTCCTATACGCAGGCGACAGATAATGGACACTGTTCTTTTTGGTAAGTGGCGGTGCTTGAAAAACCAGGGTCTTGAGGGAATATCCTGTTGGATATCAGCATAATATCTGCCTACGTATCTCTTGGAGTTAACCCAGTGAGTATTCCACGACTTGAACAGGTGTTTACGTGGGAGCGAAGAGACATCATGAGCAAATAATCTGTAGTGATCCAGTGAACCTGTGGATATAGCGTTTTTAGAACATGAATCTACAGTTTCATTGCCAGGGATACCTCGGTGACTTGGGATCCAGGCTAAAGTGACATTTAAACCGAGCTGTTTACACTCAAAAAGGGCTTCTCTAATTTTGAAAACGATGGGGAATTTAGTTTTGGATTTAAATGGATTGGCTAAAATAGATTGGAGGCAGCTCAGAGAATCAGTAAAGATCAAGGTGTTATTAAGACGGTGTGAGATAGAGTAACGAATAGCTTCTAGAATAGCGACTGATTCTCCTGTGAAGACTGATGTAACTGGAGGACACTTAAAGCTTAGTGCTATTCTGTATGCAGGTATCCAGACTGCTGCGCCAGTGCATCCACCTTCATCCAGCTTGGAGGCATCAGTGTAAATTTTTAACCAACCTTGCCAGTGCTCAGAGACAATATTAATGAATTCCTGACCAGCTGAGCACGAGTCCTTAGATATGCCAAAGTTGAGGATTATTGAGGGAGTGAAAAGAAGGGAATCATAGCTATTGCTGAAAAGAGGATTCAATGGAATTTTCTCAATTGGAGTAGGGAGGCGGGTAAATTTCCTGTAACTCAACAAAACACAAGGTGAACTCTGAGAGGAGTCAGAGCTACTCAGTGAAGAGAGGAGAGCCAGTTTTTCATGCAGAGGGTGATTGGAATTTTGAGAAGTTTTTACGTAAAACCGGTCGCTTAGGTATTGTCTACGCAAATATAGGGGAGGTTCCACACATTCAATTTGTAGAGCATTAATAGGCGAAGGTTTCATTGCTCCCAGTATAATGCGTAGACACTTCGACTGAGTTTTATTAAGTTTTTCGAGAGCAGCTTTATTACAGGGGTCCAAAAGAAATGAGGCATAATCGAAGTGGCTGCGGACAATAGCGTTGTAAAGTAATTTCTGTGAGTATGGATGGGCACCCCACCAGGTGCCTGAAAGGGCCCGGAGGATATTTAGCCCCTTTTCGGCCTTACCAAGGATGTAATTGAAATGAGGGATGCCAGACAACCGGGAGTCTAAAATTATGCCTAGGAACTTCACTTGGTTGTTACAAGGAACGCTATCACCGTTCAGTGTTATATCTACCTCTGGTGTATTACGTTTACGGGTGAAGGTGACGCAACTACATTTTGGGACTGAAATGGATAATCCATGGTTTGTCATCCAGGCATTGAGATATTCCAGAGCAGTGTTTAGGCGCGAACTTGCTTCGGATATAGATTTGGATGAATAATAGAGGGCAATGTCATCTGCGTACTGAAGGATGCTGCAAAAAGATTCTACAGTTCTACTAAGGTCGTATGTGTAAATGCTGTAAAGTAGAGGGCTGAGTACGGATCCTTGCGGAAGCCCTTTCCAGACAAAACGGGGAACTAGAGAGTCTTGGTATCTCACTGCTATTGATCTTGACATCAATGTGTTGCAGATGAGACGAACCAGTTTCTCCGGGATACTCAGATAGAGCAATTTTTGCCTGAGTATTGGGAGTAACACATTATCGTACGCAGAGGCAATGTCTAAGAAGACCCCAACGAGGTACTCCTTGTTTTTAAAAGCTACGCGAATATCCGTCGTTAAAATACTTAAACTGTCTAGAGTACTATAACCTTTGCGAAAGCCAAATTGGGATTTCGCCAAAATATTATTTGATTCCAAGAACCATTCCAAACGATTTTTAAGCATGTGTTCCATTATTTTAAGGAGCACGGAAGAAAGGGCTATGGGACGATAAGAATTATGATCTAAAGGTTCTTTTCCTGGTTTGGGAATGGGGATTACAATTTGTTGTTTCCAAGCTTCCGGTAGAGTACCTTGATCAAAAAACGAATTTAATAAATTAAGAAAGACAAGTTTAGCATTAGCCGGGGATTTAATAATAAAAGAATAAGGGATTCCATCTGCTCCAGGAGATGAATCTTTTAAGCCGTCAAGAGCTGATAAAAGTTCTTCTAAGGAAAAGGGACCATCTAGATTATTTGATTGGGGGAGAAAACAACTTGTTGAAGGAAGATTATCCATAAAAGGAACAAAAGGAGGGGCCAGTTTGTCTGCAAAATCATTTAGCCAAGCTGTAGGGTTGTTTGACGGGGCATTTATAGGGATTAAGGAAGTGCGGTATCTTTTGATTTGTTTCCAGACAATTGAGGAAGGGGTCCTTGGAGACATACTCTCACAAAAACTGATCCATCCCTTCTTTTTTTTTTTAGCTAAAAACTTTCTAGTTTGTGCAGCAATTTTTTGGTAAAGGATGTAATTCTCCATGGTCATTGAACGGTTGTACCTTTTTTCAGATTCCTTTCGTTTTTGGACACTGGCTGTACATTCAGAATCCCACCAAGGGGGTGATATTTTCCGAAACGGATTTTTCAAAGGTATGTGATCATCTGCTGATGTTTTTAATGTGTTCACAAAATCACAGTATACTGAAAGGGAATTAACATTATTTACAGAAGGTAAATTCTTTAATTTTTCGTTGACTGATGCATGATAGGCAAGCCAGTCAGCTTTATTTAAATTATATTTTAAGAGGGGAGGTGGTCGATTTATTGGGGGGTTATTGTTAGGCAAAGATACTAAAATGGGGAAATGATCACTACCGAGCGTGCTGTTTAAAACTTTCCAAGAACAGAGTGAAGTCAAATTTGGTGAACAGAATGACACATCAACAGCAGACGCTGGATTTTGTGTAGGGGCACATCTTCTTGTTGGACAGCCATTGTTCAAAATACAAAGGTCTAGTTCATCCAAAAGGTCTAAGAGCAATGAACCTGGAGAGTCGGAATGGTAGGAGCCCCATAAAACGTGGTGCGCATTTAGGTCACCTAAGATGATAACGGGAGGAGGAACAGATAGAATAGCAGAGCGCAATTCATTGATGGAGGAAGCGTTAGGTCGGGGAATGTAAACAGATAAAAGGGAGATATCAAATATTCGCATAGCCACGACATTAATGTCTTGGCTATGCGAAGGAAGGGGGAGTTGATTATAAGGAAGGAAGCGTCTCACAAGTAAGGCACTTCCCGCGTAGCCATCATTCCTATCATCCCGGAGGCATGCATATCCCGATACACGGAAATGTGAACCAGGAACCAGCCACGTCTCCGAGATAGCTAGGACTGATGGTGAATATTTATTGATAAGATAAGTTAAATCATGTTTTTTGCGTCTAATACTTTGGCAGTTCCACTGAACCACCTCCTTGTCCATTATTATTGTAGTTTAACTGTGAGATTTGGGAAAGCATTTGCGCAACGTTGGGCGGTATGGCGGTATTACGACCAGAAACAATATGGATGATGAGAGATAGAACCATCTGCAAAAGGTTATCTTCTCCCAGGGAAGGAGAAGAGTCGCCGTTCAAGGCACAACCATTAGGTAGGGAGGAGGCACAATTGCCAATTATGGCCTGGTGTGCCTGCTTGTCGTAACCCTTATCTAACGGTGCATGAGGGCGGGATGTTCGGGGAATGGTCTTTCGGTATGAGACGGTTTGGTTGGGGCGTGAGGAGTGAGGTTGGGAAGGTTGAGAAGCGTAGCTGCTGGTTTGATGGGAGGATGGTGATTTTGTAATGTCCGCATATGATGTGCGGACAGGAGGAAACTGAGAGGAGGCCTGGGAGTATGAGATGTTATCCTGAGACATTGTTACCTTAATAGCCTTTTGGCGAGAATGCTCAGGGCATGATTTGTTTGTTGCAAAGTGGGGACCTAAACAATTGATGCAGGTGGCTTTGGCTTCTGTGGTATTACATTCCTCTGCCGTGTGTGGTTGGGAGCAACGATAGCACCTAGGTTTAGACCTACATTGCGTCTTGATGTGTCCAAAACGACAGCAATTGAGGCATTGGATTGTCGGTAATTGGTATGTCTCGACCGGAATTGAATTATGGCAGCAGAAGACTCTTTGTGGCAGGACTTGTCCCTTGAATGTCACTACCACTGATTGTGTGGGGACCCACGATGTTTGATTATCCTCCCTAACCAGTTTTCTGTTTAGCCGACGAGCCTTTAAAAGTATACCACAACCGTCGGGGGTTGTTAAAGATTCTGCTAGTTCCTCCATTGACCAGTCAGTTGGAATGTTCCTAATGAGGCCCATGCGGGTCACATTATAAGTGGGGATGGAAGCAACATATTTATACATGGGCAGAATTTCGTTGTTCAGGAAGTTATTTGCTGCACTGGCTGAAATGAATTGTACAGAAATCTTGTTTCTGCCGATTTTCGTGACGCCGTCCAAGATGATGCCTTGAATTTTATTGGTTACTAAAAATTTACCAAACCTCATGGGTTGAATGTAGGCTGGAGAAGAGGGTTCCGATTCTACATGGGAAACGTGAACTAAGAAAGGTCCTTTGTCTTCGTCACTATATGTTTTTGGGGCTATTACAAGTGAGGGGTGAGTGTACATCAATTGGCTATTTTGAGTAATTGATCCATCTGTATTCGTCCTCTTGGCCGGCTCGGTATCAACTACCGTGTCTACAAGACGGCGTTTGGTCGCCGTTTGGGAAAATAAAGGCGGGGAAAGCTCCATAGCGGCGGCCTGATCTGGAGGATCAGGCGGATCGGGAGGAATCACCTCCATTCTGCTAGGTACTTACCAAGGAAAGATCAAGTTAAATTACCACCACCGTTGTTTTATTGATAATTGAGCTTAGGATTGGATTTCTGTAAAAATGAACAGTGAAATTACAAAAAAATACGCTAGAATTCCAGAAACACGTGTAGCCACTGACACTCGCGAACGGAACTCTCTACAAAAATTCCCTAGTCGATTTTTGAAAAGTAGATTTAAAAAAATAACGTACCATAAACAACGAGCCGTCATGTCTGACACCTGACTTTTTATGTTGCAAACACAATTTGTGAATTTTAAATAATAAATGACCAATATTATTAGTTCTACCGTTTACTAATTCAAGCTGCTTGGTTTAAGTTTATGCTAGTGTAATTTTAAACGATGACAGTTGTGTAGAAACGGTACATTTCACGTCCACACTTGGGTTAAGTTGACGTCTGTAATCGGGGCTTCTGCAGCCGACTCCATGAATTTTAACTGGATAATATGATAACATGGCTGTGCAACCTGACTCTGGCGGGAAGGACGACGTGAAGACCCAGTTTGCGACTCGCGAAGGCGTTTACCGCTTGATGACTTTGTCGGAGTACTCGCGGCCTAATCGCGTGGGCTACACAAGCGGCGCGGGCTCCTCTCATGTACGCGTGTCGCTCGTATCGCTGCCCCCGGGGCCCGGCAGCGGGGCCCCGGGCTCCGACGGCCAGGGCTCAGACGACAGGATATGCTTCAACCACGGGAAGGAACTTTATGTTTATGTGTACAGAGGAGTCAAAAAGGTACTTGTTTTCTACTCTCTTGTACTCATTTGTGACAATTTGAAGGATCTATATGGGTCATTCCACAAAAATATGTCAACTCTTAGTCCGCGCCACATTTCACATGAAATATTTGTTAATATTTTATTCCAAAATTGTTAAATAACAGCTCGCAGTGTGCTTTATTCATCACCCATTTATATTTTTTGAAAATATTTTTAAAACATCTTAAATTCCTTTTGAATGACCCAAAACGTCATTCCCTAGGCATGTCCGTACTCCAAAAGTTTGTGTTTTGGGACCCACATTTATAAAAACATCAACTTTACCCTTTATTTTAATTAACGAATAATCTATTTAAATGTATATTACACCAAATTCTATTAATATTTTGCGGTTTCAATAAACAATAATTTGATTTTCTTTAGTTGAAAAAGAGTCTACAGTTTTTAGCGTCATTCCCTCATTCCCTCGTCACGCACTGATTTTATAATTTTGCGCTTTAATATGTATTTAGAGTGAATGACATTTAGTTGAGTTTAAAGTACGATACGAAGTTATCCTCAGACCATACTGGCTTTGCGGTAGCCGTNGTGTTGCCTGCCACTGACACATGCGGCGAGCGAAAAAAAAAAAACTTTTTTTTTTTTTCATATAAACAAAGAAGTTAAAGAACTGATTTGACCACAGATGATTTGACAGTTGTTGTATTTTTTTTTTTTGGTTCCATTCGTTCACAGATATGGATAGATGCAGCACACAGATATGGATNGTTTTGAATTAGTGCAAACGTGACAGTTGTTACCGAAACATGTGTTAATCCAGTCACTTCGTCAGTCCCTAGTTGAGTAGCTGTATTGATTATAATAGGAAATTGTATATAATTTAATAGTATTTACGTGTAGTTTTTTGGCTATTTATAAAGTTAATCTGCATTTGTGTTAAGTTTTACTCCAAATCGTCAGTCCCTAGAGCGTCAGGCCCTAGCTTTAAACGGCACTTGAGACTAAATTACTAGTTAGGGAATGATGTGTTTTATATAGTGATAATAACAAAACAACTACATTATGTGTATTAACTTATCTATAAATGTTAAGGTTAAAAGTTTTATACTTTATTAGAAGTCATATAGAAGTAATGTAGTATGAAAAAATTGAAAATTATAATTTCTCCTAAAATAAAGCATAAAATGACTGGCCCTTTTAGACATAACATAATTAATTAATAAACAATAATTTACACTAATAAAGTATTCAAAAGCATCTTAAAAAAGTTACGGACAAAATGACGTCGAAAATATACAGATTTTTATGGAATGACCCATATAATAGTGTAGACGTTTGAAACTATGTAGTACTAACAACTACATCATATTTGGCACTGAAATAGGTGCAACAACAACATTTAAATTTATTATAATCATCATCAATAATGTTTATCTCTTAATGACATTTTCTATGTTATCATTGTTGTACACAGTATTATGCTTCAAATTATAGTTGATGATTGTATGTTTTGATGAATTTTAACTGTAACTGAACTTAATCGTCGCAAAGTGACATCTCCAATTAGATTTACGAAGGAGATGTCCCACTGTCGTCGCAAGAGGACAATATGTAATTGTACAACTAATTAATTTTGTTTTCTTTATCAGGCGGCTGATCTTTCAAAACCGGTTGACAAAAAAATGTACAAAGGCACAAACCCAACATGTCACGACTTCAACACCGTCACGATGACATCGGAGAGTGTATCTTTAGTCATAGGATTTTCTACCGGCCAAATTCAACTCATAGACCCTATTAAAAAGGAATTAAGTAAATTGTACAATGAAGAGGTAAGTTATTTTTCTTTAATGCTGTTGTGTTATAGTTTTATCTTTTCACAAATTGACATTATATCATCATTTAGAGTTTTCTTTGCTTGAGAATGGTTTAGAAAGATTCTTAAATGGATCAAAACAAAACTGAACTTATTTAAGTTGAGATCCAATTTCTTCTGATTGCAATTTGTTGATCCTGCTGCTTTAAGATAATTTTCTTAAAAGAATTACAGGTTATATTCTATTTCAAGTCAGGATATAGGAAGCAAATTGCATTGCAATGTTATTGCAATTTTGTACTAGTGTGTAGAACCAAATAAAGTATCAAGTGCTCTTTTTGTTAAATTACAGAGACTGATTGATAAAACAAGAGTAACATGCATAAAGTGGGTTCCTGGTTCGAGTAATCTTTTCATCTCGGCGCACGCATCAGGACAGCTGTACGTCTACAACGAAGAGTTGACTTGTGGCACCACCGCACCACACTACCAGCTCTTCAAGCAAGGCGAGGGCTACTCGATACACACCTGCCGGACCAAGTCAACGAGAAATCCCTTGTACAGGTGGGTCATAGGCGCCGAGGGTAGCTGCATAAACGAATTCGCGTTCTCGCCGTGTGGAACGAATCTGGCGGTCGTATCACAGGACGGTTTCCTCAGAGTGTTTCACTACGACACGATGGAGCTGATAGGACGCGCGAGGTCATACTTTGGAGGTTTTCTGTGCGTGTGCTGGTCGCCGGACGGCAAATATGTCGTTGTGGGCGGCGAGGATGACCTGGTGACGGTGTGGTCGTTCAGCGAGATGCGGGTGGTGGCGCGCGGGCAGGGCCACCGCTCGTGGGTGTCGGTGGTCGCCTTCGACCCGTATGTCGTCAGCTTCACCGACCCTGAAAGCGAGGAGGGCGTGGAAGACGACCGGCAGAAGAGTGAGAGCGTGCAGTGTTATAGACTAGGCAGCGTCTCGCAAGACACTCAGCTGTGTCTCTGGGATTTAACGGAGGACGTTCTAAAGCCGCCGGTGAGAGCGCGAGCATCCGCGCACCTTTCGCCGAACAGCCAAACGTTCTCCCCGAACGGAGTCCCGGGCATGAAGGTCCCCACAAAAGGAACGAAGACGAACAAGATCGGTCACAAGCACGCAGAACTCAGCGGCCAGGCGACGGCGGCGGGCGAGTCGTCCGGCGCTAAAGCGACGACGAAGTCCAAAACGAACAACGTCGCCACTTTAAACATAAGCGTTGGAAAGGCGAAGGAAGAGAGCTCCGGCTCATTGGGAGTAAATTCTTTAACGCAACGGCTGGCCGGGTTTTCGTTCGGCGATCGGAGGTCGGATCACCGGCGCAACTTCAGTCTATCGTCCTCGAAACCGACAGAGTCGAAATCCGCGTCGAGTTCTGTAGCGTTACGTGGCAAAGCTGGGGCGACGAGCGAAGGGGATCCGGTGCGGTTGATGGGCACGCCGTCGTGCCCGCGGTTCGACGAGTGTCCCGTATTAGAGCCGCTGGTGTGTAAAAAAATCGCTCACGAGCGGCTGACGGCACTATTATTTCGTTCCGAGTACCTAGTGACGGCGTGTGCGGATGGTTGTGTGAACACGTGGGCGCGGCCGGCGCGCGCGGCCAACGGCGAGCCGCGCCCGCACCGCCGCATCGAGCGGATCGACCTCGTCGACTAGTCCCTGACCTTCGATCGGTTCTGTTGCGTTTGGGCGCTGTGAGGCAGCTAAGATGGCCGTTCAAGGACTTGATTTTTTTACCGGAGAAAGTTGAAATAATGACCTTAGCTTAAAACAATACTATAAACCTAAAAATATGATCTGATTTGAAGAAAAATTCTTGATTACTAAGGGGCCTAGCCCTCGGCGACTTTTTGTCGCGCATTTCTCGCATTTGCAACGCACTACAGAAGTGATGTCTACGAGCTACAGCAGCGCAACTGCATCGCTACAAAGAGTCGCCGTGGGCGAGGGCCCTAAAGGTTCGGCCAAACCAACGCGATCACACGGATCAGCTGGCGTGCAGCGATGGCGACCAGACTTAAATGCATTGATCGCCATCGCTGTACGCCGGCTGATCGCGTGTGATCGCGTTGGTTTGGCCGAACCTTAAGGTACGATTGTTCCGCGATACGTATTGCTTGATATGACGAGCTAAGAAAGACGTTATATCGAGACATTAAATCGATTCTTAACAACAAATGTATCTATTTAAAACGATAAATACCAGGATTTCTGCACTCTGGTAGATGTAGGTTATGTCATGACCATGTCAAGCGATAAGTTTCGCGGAATATTTGTAACTTGACATTATTATGTATTTGGATGTTAAAACGTGATGTTTTAAGTGTTAAATTAGTCCTTGAACGAGCCAAATTTATGAACTATAGTTAGGAGGCCCAACCAGCAGTACTATATCGAATTAAAAGTTGAGGTGTGACGTTGAGTGCTAAATAATTATTCCATTAAAGGTTTGGTTGTGTGCGTTTTACCGCTAAGACTAGGCGCGCTGGAACTTTGTGTGTGAAGTATCAATGTTGCTATCCTAAAAAAATACCATGATTATTTTTTCTTTATAAATACTAGGTAAATTTTATTGGCATGGTTCTTGAAATTTGTGGAAATCAATCAATCTTGTGGATTTAGTTCAATTAACGAGCGCTAATTGCTACTGCTAATACTTTAAATTATAAAAACATGGTTTGACGATTGATCGTAATTGCACATCTGTACTTAAAGATTTATTTTGTGTATACAGATCTAGACAGATTTGATATAATTTTTAATTGTTTACATTTCCTATGAAGCTCATGAAAATTCATTCAATTATAAGTCTTTACTCACTCAACCTTTGATTGGAGATTCGAGTGATGGATTGGTCCAATTTCAATTTTTGTACCAATCAATTGATTACACTCGTTTTAAAATCGAGGATTGAATGTTTTAGTATTCAAACTCAAGAATTCAAATTCATACTTTCAGGTAGTTCAATACTATACAGAATGAAAACTAGTAGTCAAATATAGCTTTATAAACTGACATCTTCCTATGTCACACAACAAAGTTCCAGTGGGAATGTATGTAATATGTATGTATGTATAAGTGTGCATTTCTAATGTAAGACGACATACGATTGCAGGTTTAGCTAGCAATAGAAAGAAATTCAACTGTAATGTATAGCAGTGTATTATATTGTATGATGTAAGGGACAGGATTTTCTCAGCTCACTTATGTACATATAGTGATAGGTAAGGCCGAAGACGGCTCGGCACCCGCACCTGTGCGCTTATCGACTACTTGTGTATGTAACTATTTATTTCTTTTTATCAAGTTAAGTGTTGTTGGGTCGGTTGACGCGTCTGTAAGACTCGTAAATTTTATCGATACATTTTACCATGTGAGACTTGCGTAAGTTGTTATTATTGAAGTTCAGCTATTAGTTAATAGTTATAGCTTAGCAAAATATATTATCATAGACAATTTGTTCCGTGTCTTGGTTCTCTTTCGTAGATGTATCGCGAAGTACCATAACTAAATCAGTCGCAGGAAAGGCCTTCAGTAAAGTAATGCTATGAACAGAATGGTATGCAATATATTTTATATAGAGAAAGAAGAATTTTCGATGAAAAAGTTACTGATTACGCAGAGTACCTTTACTAGCAAATTACGTATGAACATTTAGCAAAATACTTCGTTTTTCATGTATCCTTCCTGCCTAGTTATTTGTTATATTTTAATAACACTTGTAGTCACTATTATTTATGTGTATCACGTATAACGTCTTGTTTTATTGTAAATTTAATGTAAATGAGTCTCTGGATAATGCATAAAATTCGGTCCTTGTAAAATTCGAGATTTTTCGCACTTTATTATTAACTAGGGAAAAAACATGAGCCGGATGAAAGAAATGGCTATTGTTTATTTATGTAAAATTCATCCTGATAAAAATGAAACTGGAAATCGCAACCATTGTAAAAAATGCCCCCTATATCTAGTTGATTTTATACCGAAAGTTGTGAGAACACAATCTCTACATGTATCTACACTGCACCGCGATCTATGCTGATGATACCTACGGCATGAGATACATCGGTAACCCTTAAAATTACATCTTATTTTGTTTACAATGGTTGGGCTTTCCAATCCTCTCAATAAAAAATATGAATTTGTTTTACAATCATGACAGAGAGTTATGCAAAATCATGTTATCACAAAACATTATGGAAGCGTATGGTGATACATTTTATGTGCTGTATAAGTTCGTGTTTTATGCGGCCTTATAAGTGTTATGTGTCGTTTCGTTGGGTGGAATTATCTTATGATCATTGTAAACAAACCATTGGCCTTGGGAAACCGCCTCAGAGATGCGACGGCAAACTGTACATACAAATCAATTCTCTAATCAAATTAACCATCTCTGTGGCGATTCCTTCAATGCCAACAACGGTACAGAGTAAATAGTTTGATTTAAACCACGCCCTCTTATCGCAAGTTGGTTTACTGACCGCCTAGTACTAATTTCAATAACATATTTATTGTACACTTTGCCTTAATTATCACAAAACATTATTGAACTAACAAAATGGTGGTGGCCTAGACTGACTTGCGTGAGACTCGATGCTTGATAACGTGAAACAGATTGTCTTTCCTTAAAATTTTGAAACTCCCGTCTAGTGATAGATTAATATCGTGCCAAGATTTGTATTACATTCGGATTCAAAACAACTCTCACGGAATAGTTTTAAAAAGTTAGAAAGGTCTTTCATAGCTTATAGTTTGAGCACAGCATATAAAAGGAAAATCTTCATAGAAGGTATTAAAATGCAGGGAAATAAGAGCATTAGGCAATGCATAATTGTGTAAAGCAGTAGTTTGTTCATATTGAGATTAGATCTAATAAATATTTGGGATGTTTCGCGTTATCAAGCATCGAATCACGGCGCGGTTCTTATAAATTCTAAACATAATATAGGTTGTGCTCCGTGGTGTAAAATGCTCATAGTTGTATATAGACTTCAGATGCAGATTACAGACTGATACTGGTGACGGATTTTTTCAGAAATAACACCAGACGCCATTTTGAAAAGTCCAATGACCGACTATGTGGTCATTATGTATGGTTGCTAAGAAATCCGGCAGCAGACTTTGTATATCAGGCTGTACGTTATATTATTTATAGATAACCGGTACAGAGAAGATTATGAGGGAAATGGCCACTGACTGGGTTATAATCCAATATACAGGGTGTTCGATATCGAGTCGAAAGTTTGGGTGCATATAAAGTACAATCAAGATAAACAGATCGACAGCCAGTAAAACATTATCACTGTCCTTTTTTTGTTTTATGACAGCTGTAGCATTTCTCGAATCGATACCAAACATCCCTATAAAAGTAGACCTTGTTATATCTGCAAGATAATGATAAAGTAATGTATCGTTTTGCACGCGAAAAGTTTCTTGTTACAACATTAGTCCAACTAGAGAGACTTGTCCGTGTATGCAGTTTCATGTTTGATGTCACCATCAAGGTCATACGCCCGTATTCACAAAAAAATCTTTGAGATCCCACAGTGCGCGTTGATGCACAGGGTGATACACAAACCAATCACAGAGCTCTATTCAACGCTGTGCGTTTGATTTGCTGCTTCACTTAAGCAACCATCGTTTGTGAATACGGGCGTTAGTCTCTGCTGCAGGAGCACAATCTTATATCTTCTTCTAGAATCTAGAGGCTTCCCGTTGTAACAAGTAACTAACCTCTTACAGGGCACTACGTAGTTATTAGGGTAAAACTGTTGATGCATTTAGAGATTATGTTCCTAACTATAATTTATTATTCCACCATCAGTCTTCTCTGTACTTGGACGACATTATAGAAGTAAGTTCCTTGATCGAACGCGTTGGCAAGGTTTGCTGGACTGCCGAATCTATACGTAACCTTTTTATTGATCTATTGTTACTTTAGTACAATTTTATCATACATCAGACTTTCGCATATTCGCAGTCCACTAAACTGAAGTAGTCTCAAACAATTCACCTACGCAAAGTATGTAAATTATTACATAATATTATTATTAATTTATTGGAATTCTTTGTTCAAAACTAGTGAGACACAAAATACAAGCCTATCAAGTTAATATTTAAATAGAGGATTCTCTTTATAAATGTATGCCTTTTTATTCACTCATATTACCAAGCATTGACCTATGATGACCAAGGAGAAAGTGTTTCAGAAATGTACAGAACGAAGATAAACAACAAAACTTGAAGCATTAAGAGCACAGAATTGTGAAGAGTGAATTTATTGGTCGCACTTAATTGTGGTCACTTCGTGTTTGAGGTGCTTAAAAAGGTAAGTTTTGAATTTACTAGTTCGTTCGGAGTCATCGAAAAGTTGGTTAATTTTCGTTAAGTTTCATAGTGAGTACGAGTACCCTCTTTTAAAAATGTCATTAGTATGACATTCGTCTGGTGCAGGGGCACTCTCAGTCGCCATTTTGTTCTATCTACTTCGTCTTTATATTGCGGTAGACGTACTTGAGTTTGCAGAGTGTTGGAACTATTGTTCTATGGTGTCAACCATCCTATATTTTCCGTCCAAAGTAGTTAGTACAGTCGCAAATAAAACAGCACATAACCTACAAATATTTATTTACTAGTCTTAGAAGCCGGGGTCCCAGCCGGTGGTGGATTGTGAGTCCACCATCTTGTAACACACGATGGTGTCTCCGGGCTGGACAGCGAATGTCGCGTCCGAGAACCGAAGCCCGCACTCCTGGTCGCGCTTGATGCTCGTCACTTCGTCTTTGAGGTGCTTAGAAAGGTACACGTAACTTTTGAATTTAGTACCTAGTTCATTTGCAGTCGTCGAAAAGTTGGTTAATTTTCGTTTAGTTGCATAGTGAGTACAACATATTTTATATCTGGAATAAAGTTCATCCCTCTCTTTGAAATCTTGTCAA